AAAAAATGCTAATGTCCGGGGGTTAGCCCGGGGGGGGATGGGCACTGCTGGAATTGACTGATGCATAACTGAAACACGTGTTACCATTATGTGCTATATATCTGTAATTAAAAGCATTGAATTTGAGGGGTGCCTCGAAACCTAAACCTTAACACTCACACATGTCCAAAAGATAAGGAATAACAAACCTAGCAAGACAACTAGCAGGTTAACAACCAATACTGTCTGTTAGAAACAAGAGAGTTATTAATTTCATGAGCTGCAACAAGAGTCATATCAAGGTGAAGTGCTTCTAAGCTGTTAAATGTTCACATGTTACAAAGGTATTAAGATTCTGTCGAATATTACAGTAAAATAGATATCCGATGTTACAGATTAAAACACATTTAACGAAATCGTTTCGTAAGAAGGTAGGCCAGATACTTAAACAAGGGCAGGCGGCAGAAGGGATCCAACGTGTTTTCAATTTAAAACTTATGGAAGATATCAAAAACGAAAGGCTGAACTTAGTATGCCCTTGAGACGACGCCATGGTGGCGTCACATTGTAGTGTTTAAATAGGCCAAAAAAACCTATTTAAATAGTCAAATATGTTACTGTTTCCAATTTCTCTCGCTTGAGCTCGCTCACTCATTGACGGTAAGGATTCGATTTTCCGCCAGCGTGCTAGTTTAATTTGTGTACCTCAAGAGAGGGCGCTTTTTGGAGAGAAGCGCTTAGTTCCTTTTGCAAATATGCTTCTGGTTCTTAAAAACAACAGATACTTTAACTCAAGAACTGTAACAGTAGGGGCTCTGATGGTCATAAGGTTCATTCCTACGATCAGATGGGAAGCCAGAATTAGTCATTTATTCGTTGTTAATGTTTTGAATGTCACGTTCGCTATGGGCACGCTTATTGGAATAGGGGCGCGCTTATTAAGAAAACGGCACTCAATGGGAAGTGCTTACTACAAAGGGGGCGCTTATTGGAAAGAGGGCGCTAAATCGAATCATTACGGCATCCCACCAAGCAGACTTAAACTTGCTTCATGGCTTTGTCGGTTTCTAAGACATGTGAGTGAAGTACGTACTTGTGCCACCTCGGCCACTGGACTTTGGCCCTTCTTAAGTACCGTTACACAACAAAACTAATACTGACATTCCGCCTCTATCATACATGAAAGAACTCTCAAACCCGGTAATTTTATACTCACATCCTACATTACGTTTGTGTACTCCGCGGGGAGCGAAATAGGTGGCAAATTACAACAGTAATGTGTCTAAAACAGGTACCAAGTTACCGACCATATCGAACTAACCAAAGATGCAAAAAACATCATGAATTCCTATGCTTTCTTCAGCTTCCGTCTTCACCGGAATTTCAGCCTTTAAACTCTACGGGACATTTTTCGTTAACTAGAGACCACCCAAACTTGTCCGTTCACATTATAGATTAATTAAGACCCATACTAAAACCATTAGCGGGATCTGTAAAGCTCGGACACATGGTACAACATTGCGTCCATTTTCTAAGTTGCAGCTTGTGTCGTCCTCACGACACGGCACGCAACAATTATAGTCTCAGTGGTTCGAGGGGTTGATAAGGCTACCCACCGGATAAGTCGCTACCCAGTGAAAAAATGTTGGGAAGACAAACTACACTGTCCACTGAATAGTGTGATTTTTCCAGTGGATAGCGTTATACACCCTTTGAGCAACTGGAACTCTGAGTAGAATAGTGGAATACAATAAGGGTAACCATACGTTGTATTTTACCTCTTTTTTTGTTGCGTGCAACGTTGCACTGTACGTCCGGTTCTTTTTTAAGTAGCCTTAGAATCCTTGCCGACCATTCATCGTAACATGCGGTTTCTCGTGAAAATATTTGCAGCCCAGACCAGACAAGCAAGTATTGTTGTGCGCAGTGATCAGAGTCGGTGTTTACTTTTGAACTAACCGTACGTGTACTGTCCCGGGTTATTGATTCAATTTGTGTAACTTTTCTAATTACTTTAAAAGCGACCAAAACAAGTTGACAGACTTTAAATGAGGAGATTAGTTTTTAAGGAAAACGACTGAGAAAACAAACGGTATGCCGGCCAGATTAAGTAATTAATTAGGTCTTCACGCGTGGGAACCCCTCAAAAGAAACGCCAACATAACACGTTTAACACAAAATTCTCCATTTCCCTAACCAGACTTCCGTGTGTTCCGTGATGCTTTCGCCAGAACACGCCACGCCCCAAAACCGCCTGCTGCATCGCGAATGTGAACAGTTACACCTCACCCCCACCCCCATATTTCCGTTTGTGGTCGCGGAAGATTCGTTCAGTTTGTACAGTTCCTTTTAACACGAGCAGGAGCAAACAAATGTCACGAGTTAACAGTTCCCAAAAGATATAAACGGCTAATTTCTCCTCAAAATAATAATAATGCATTAGCAAGCAGTGAGAAGTAGAGAACAGGAAAAAAACGTCAACTTGGAAATATGACCAAAAATATTGTCTTGATGTGCATCCCCCATCAAGCACCCATAAGAAAAATTAAAAGAAACAGAGAACTATAGCGTTAAAGAGAATAAACATTTACAGCTATATTCTTTGTATTTATATCACACCGTTTTGCTGCAAGTCGAAACTGGCGATGAATGCAGGTCAACCGAAACTTGGTTTTCAAACTTGAACCGCGCGCATCTATCAGAATGTGGTACATGTGTAACGAAAGTCTTATGCATCGACTATTTTGGACCGCCTTATCAGCCAACAAAAGACGTAATAGAGACCGTGAAAACTCCAAAGTTTTACCATTACTATCGTTGAATTGGTTCAGACAATCACGTTTGTTTTCTTGGCAGACTTTAAATGTACGCTTCAGTTTCTTAGAACCGTCATTGGATGAGCTGGAACGTACATTAAGGCAACTGTTGTTTCACAATGTTGAGTAGAAATCACATGTACAAAGGATGAGTCCATACGAACTTAAAGCCGACTTGTTTTCACATTGCACGATTACGGCTACGGTTTGATTAAATAGCGATCAAGCAATCTCTTCCCTTGCTCGCTCGGCACGAACGTGCCGCAAAGCAGTGAAGTGCTTATGTTATAACAGGAAAAGGCAAACACTTTCAAATGAGTGCCTACACGCCGCTAAAAGGAAACTGCGTCAGATACTGTAATACTCCAATGTACAAACAAACAGTGGAACCGAAAGGCTTAATTGAATCAATTAAGTCAACTGGTTATTCCACCAAATATAAACAGAACAAAAGCAAATAGCACTGTTACTCAAGTTTGAAAAAGGTTAGCTGTGAGTTTATAAAACGTTTCCCGCCCTGATACAGTCATCTTGATCATCCTGAGACTAAAGGAACGTGAGGCAGCGCACATTGGTACGTGATCTGTCCTAGAAGCGGCCACAAATTAAACATGGTGCAGTATCCGACATCAGCACAATTTTTGCTGCCGCCTCATTAACATAATAGAAGCTTAAACCTTTTCTATGTACACAGTTATCAGTTATCTATCGGTGACTTTGACGGCACAATGCTGGCGCACTCGCTTACGTACGTCGTTCAACTGATGTCAGAAAAGCAAACAACGCTCTGTTTGTTGTCTTGTCAGACATCTCCAAAATTTCTTTCGCGAAATGACAAACCTCTTCTTAGCTACGTTGAGAAAAGACGTGGATTGCACAAGCAGCGAGTTTTTTAAAGGCTCCATCAAAGAAAGCATGCTTACAGATTGCAGTAGTGTAAACACCAATCAAATTCAGAACATAAATAAGCACTTCAAATTAATCCGACTTCACATGTTTATCGGTGGCGGAAACCGCAACTACAGTTGAAGTAATTTTGCATATCAAAAAACAAAACCCGGTAGATAAGGTGCTTCAGTCGTCCACGAAATTACAAGCTGCGAAAATCATCCTACACATTGCTCTCCACTCACAGCTGACACGACATTATAACAACATAACGTTTTCTAGGGAAAATATACCCATAATTCATGTAAACCAAGGTTTCTTCGTTTTTCGACGTACAAACTTATCCCACGATCCCTACGATTGAGGAATTCGGCGGAAAGTGCTCTAGAACTTCTTCTGGCAGGCAAAGGTAGTTTATTACAGGTTTCACAAGCGCCATACGGAAAAGTTATCTAGCTCGTGATTATTTCACCCTCAGACACGAACTCAATATTTGTACTATTTAAAGGACCCTCGAGTTATTTTGTTACGGACAGAGGGAAAATAAGTTATAATGAAATTGACTTCAAAGTGGGGTTGTATTCTTTTGTTTGCTTTGGCTAGAGGTCACCGTTTTACTGTTTTCAATGGCACAACAGGAGCAATAATAAAACAAAACTCATTTTCCCAAATGGGCTTAAGACTTGCGGGGCTTTTAGCTGTACCCCGCAGATAAATACATACTAAGTGATTGAGAGCGACGACTTGAAGTTGTTCAAACTCTACAAGTCGTAAAAGAACTTCTATGCAAGTTAATGTTGAAACACATGCGAAAGCAATTGCCGACGAGTGCGTTGTTCTGCTGTCGAGAGGAAACTGAAGGCAACACATGATAAATAGGTTGTCCTGGGAGGTACCACAACAGATTTGGAGCGATTTGAAAGTGGCCACTTCATCACGCCATTTATAGAATGGAAACTTAAAAACCCAACAACGACTGAGAAATAAGCGTAAAACGACTTTATAATTGGCTACCCTAGCCTTAAATTGAATTAGCAACAACTTGTGAGGTACTCCGTCCGCAATATCCGCATTACAACTTGAATTTTACAACCACTTGCAAAATCGTTTACATCAGCTATTCCATTCAGATCTTCTAATGTCTTTAACAGCTAATATCGTATGTGGGAGAAGTTGGGAGGAAATCAGTACATCGAACCTTTGCACTACCAGGAACTGAAGGTCACCAACCGCAAAAAGGAATTTCTACTCGAAAGGCTGCAAAGAGCTCTATCTTTAACCCAAAAAGATACAACAAAACGTTACAAGTAAACTTGCTCAAGAATTTTACCATGCTAACAAATTATGTAGAAATTTGATACGTGATTGGCCCATTGTGTCTAGCTCATAGGAAAGCATGAAAACGCAACGTACACGAAAAAACAAGATGCTCTGATGGCGTTCGAGCAGGACTTACAAGATTTTTTTCTTAATCTACAAGTATTGGAATGGAAAGCACGCTGATGCTTCTTATGTAAACGAACTACTATGGCTATAACTGTTTATTTTGCGCGAATGCTAAATTAATGACCCAAGTAAAACCTACTTAGTAAATAAATGACTCAATAAAAACGCAAATCAAATCAACTTGCACATGCTCATTAAATTAACGAGATGACCGATAAACCTGCCAGTAACTTCTCTCCCAAAATAACTGCTATTTTCACGTAAACTGCTCTGCTATGTGGATTGATAAAGGTTAAACCTAGTGCCTTTTTCGTATCAAATTTACCTTCAAACTGTTTTTATTGGGAATTGACGACTATCACATGTATTATTGCTTAATCAATTATATGTTTCTCACGACATTTGGATGTTAACGACTGCTCAGGTCTTTTTGAACAATCGAGCTGGAAATGCTAATTAAATTTACGCCACGCACTCCTTGAAATAGGAAAAAAAACTTCAAAAACCAGGTCAGTATGGTCATTTAACTAATTAGAGGTAAATGGTAATTATTTGGTAAATTATCTGCGCTGAACTCCGAACTTCGAAGAAATAGTGTACTTGCATAATTAAAATGACCACAAACATATTGAAAGTTGAATACCTTGATATTACATAACTTAAACGGTCGCAAAAGCACAGAGCAAGAGGAAAAAGTATTTTCTTGACCGCGATCCACTCCTCAAACTGCGTTAAAAAGGAAAAAACTGAAAACCCATGCAACAAAAAATTGTACAAAGTTTAAAACCTGCCAAAACACGACTCAACCCGAATAGTCGAGTTGACATTTAAATCAGATCATCTTATGTTACCTCACTCATTTACCTGCAAACCTTGCGATTAACATTCTTCACGAGATAACACGTTTTTTCTTTTACTTAAATTTTGTGAAGTTCCCAAAATCTTACGTGTCGATCGAGGCGTATCAATCTAATTAGAGCGGCGATAACCGTATTAACATACCCAAAGCCAGGTAATAACAGTGTTAATGACTTACCAGTCTGCCAACTTCGTTATTATGGAGGTTCATAAGGTATCTTCCCTTCTTCCGTACACGCATCTTTCTATCGGCGATTGTGCCGCTGCGCTCGTTTCGTTCAGGTGCATCGACAAAGGTTTTCGACAACCAAACGCCAAATTTCACATCGTCGTTGCAGCCTCCCCATTCCCAACCTCTTGATGGCTGCTTTCTCTTTCTGCGAGCTTCACAGGCACAATCACTAAGGTTGCCAAGACTGCATGACCTGCTAGCCGCGTGCACTACCCCAGCTGAAGTTATCGCGTAAACGAAGGCAGCCTCGGGACTTCCTGTCATGGGAAAGTTGGAAGCATGTTACAAAATCAACGGGTTTCAACTGGAAAAAACTCGACGAGATTTAACTTGAACTCACCTATGTCAATAATTTCACCGAAGACTGACGATGAATTTGTGGTGGAACAGTTCCAACGTTCTTTTTCAAACTGTTTCTGACACTCGGTGATTCCCAGGTTTGCACCGCGCCTGAGAGTCGGGATGAGATCCGGCTTAGATTGGCACACGCTCATTTGCTGCGAGGACAAGCCAGGAACTCCGTAACAAGTCGTCAGATTGCCATCGCTTCGGGTGCCGAGCGCCGAAATCCCCATCCACCTTGAAAACAAAAGCAAGAAACTAAAAACATCAGCTCTACCGCCGCCACTCAAGTATTTGTCCATCAAATTGGAAAAGCTTCTGTTTTTGATTTTAATGAATGGAAAGTGCACAAGAAAAGCAAAACTAACATCCAACTGGCAGTAGTCCTGTCTTGAAACACACCCAACAACAACGCATATAAAACCAAGCATTTCTTCTTCGCCATAGTTTCACAAGTTCCTCTCGTGCAGTCCTCACTTCGGAAGAAACTGCTGAAAACGTAGTAACAAGCTCACACGTGATAGAGTTCGAGGTCGGTTGGCCCTTTGCTTTATATTATTGTACTTCACGGCTAGCCAAGGCATTTCACCTGTCAACGCTAATGAAAAACTCCAATCCTGATTGGTTGGTGCAAATGACATCAATCGGTTAATTGGGTGACGTATGGGAAAGTGGAAGGGCATGGATTGTTGACTAGCCCTCCATCGTACAAATGGAAACAATTTATCGACACAGTTTGCCTTTCAAAAATTCCCGGCATTTTTTCGCCCAGCCGTGTCCCGAGAAACACTTGACGCACATCAACGGGGAGGCATTCTGGCTGAAAATGTAACCGGGTTAATACCTCTAATAGCTAAATTTCCGTTTAAAGTCTTTATCGCTTGACAATCATTGTTTGTTGATCGCAGAGGGTGGGCGGGGAAAAGCTAGCTAATTACAACTCAATTGATCAATTGAGATGACCTCAACAGTGCTTTGAGACACGACTTATCATTACAGAAATCAGCATGAACTGACTGTGCACTTGCCCCACTTCACGACTCCAATCGATTATCAAAACTGATCTTAACAACCACATCAATTTCTCGCGCGCGGCAGGGATAGTTGTCGCACAACTCGCGCTAAGACAGAGCGGATTCCACACGTTTTTCACACGCAGATTTCAAGCGTTCAGCGTTGTTTTCCAATTCATAGTGCAAGGTCAAAGAAACGCCGATTGATCACAAGACGGCTTTTCTTTTTGACAATTAAATGCAAAGTACACACACGGCAAGGTAGACGGTTTTCATACGCCCCCGGCTCACTGTTTACGTTCGGTTGGCAAATTGACGTTGTTGTAGGCGCTTAATTATTCAAAGAGTTGGCCGGAAGATTCAGGTCGCCTTTTCCGGTATCGATAGCAAAAGGAACACTCGATACATGACAGAGGAAGAGTTTTCGTTGCCACAGAGGTTTTTTTAGAGTGAGTAATGGGTTTGACAAGCCACAAAGCCTAAAATAACCTCGTTCAATAATATTTCGTCTGAATCGCGGTTCTGTTATCTCATTGATGAATTAAACACACAAGTTAGTCGCGTGGTTCAGTGTTAGAATCGAGTTAGAACACCAAAGGAATTATTTCACTGCAATGTTTATCGCTGTTACACTCACACCAAGATCAAGAGATAATTGAATAAAAGGGCTTCCTTTCAACAGGACACTAGAAAAGAGAGCACAAAATAAGATCGTTGAAGAGATAAGGGCAATTAAAACCATCACAATAACATGCGAGAAAAATTAATTTCCGCATGGAAAGGGAAACTGACTTCGTTTTATGAATGCCCAGCGCTTCAGCAAAACGCCTCCTTTACAGTGTTTAGACGTTTGATAAATATACTGCTGATGGCGCGAAACCAGCAACGTACAGCTAATCATGAGCTGTAGACAACACAGTCAACACTGACGAAAGCAGAAATTTGTTGCATTTTTAGGTTGCGGATGTACTTAATCATGTTCTTCAAAAGCTACTTTCTCGTTACAGTTGACGGAGCTAAGGAAGAATAGCTTTCTCCCTGTCTAGCAATAGGCGTAATTGTATTCCTGTCAAGATAACTAGAAAAACTCTTGACCTTCCAAAAGCTAACACCGAATGTCGACACCTCACGCCCACACGACACAAGCCATGCTTTTCATCCACAGTGTAGTCGGCGCTGGGCTGTGGTCGCTCGATTCTGCCCAGATACCGCCCTTGCTTAGATACACAACGGGAAAATCAACCTTAAATATTTCAGTCCCCAAGTCCCAGCGGTATTTATATAATGCTGCCGTGGTTGTTAGTTCTTGTTAATAACAAAGCGTCAACAACTGAAGGTCAACAAGCCCACACTATAGGAATTTTGCATGAGTGAAGTGATTTTACCTCGCGTTGGTGTAAAGTGCTTATAACATTAATGTAAACTTTTATGTAGCCAGCAGTTCTTTCTCAATTTTGACTGTACACGCCACACCAAACTTATAAGTTTTTTAACTTTTAAGTTTTGTATTTACCGGTAGTTTAAAAGCTATCATTTGCAACTTATTGCGTGATGTCGGAGCGAATGTCGCTATTCACATATACCGATGTATAAATTTACGAGTCGATAAGTTAGATGCGAACTGAACTCAAAACCAAGCAAGCATTAACTTGGGATTGAATACAACGTAAAACAGATATCACCGCTGACAATATCAGAGCTTTAATTAAGTTACTTACGTGAAATAAAAGTCGTATCACGAGCCTTGGTAAAGGCAAATTAAGACCCTTCAACCACTGAAAATTGATTAAATTCAGCTCTTCAGCCACCAAAACAAAACTCAACTTTTCTTGTTAAAAGATAAAACCCACGGAAAGCCGAACCCCTTTTGAGAATGTGCACGATAGCACATCTCCACCATTCTCGTCACGCAACCAACAAAACCACTGCCCGGAGATACAGCAGTAACATATGGTTTACTCATTTTACCCCAAAACCAGAAATGACATTACCCACTCGGTGAAGTGCCCTTCCGTGCTGATATATCGATAACTGCTATTTTCAGAGTCTATTTTAAAACGGAAAATTCCTCTGGTTTTCCAAGCCCAGTGTTCAGCAGTGATAAGACCGTGAAAGATTAGCCTGCGTAGCTTGGCGGTTTTTAAGCAATTTGAGCGCGCTATAAAAGCGGCGAAGCCGTGATAACGAGCACCAATCCCCGAGAAGCCTGGGAGAGCTCGTTTTCGCGGCTTTGTTGCTTTGTTCGCTCGCGCTCAAATTGCTCAAAAAATTGCTTAAACCACCAAGCTACGCAGGCTAGTGAAAGATGTATCCTTCACCCCACCCTACTGAGACAAGATTTTGATACACAGCGTGCTGAAAGCTGGCGGCTGCTCGCAAGGCGCCGACATCGCGCGTGGAGCTCGCGCACCTCGCTAAGTCGCGAGGGCAAGAGACAGATTCGGAGGAGTTACGACTTTACGAACTGTCCGAATCGTGGATCAGTTTAGCGGAATGGTAATATTGTTACTGGCATATAGAACACTTGTCACAGGAATATGAACAATAAATAATCGGCTGTGAGTCTGATTATCTGCTTTTGACTGACTCGCCTACACGCGGACCATACTTATGTACCCGCACTGAAGTCTGCTGGCATTATCCTGACGTCAAGAAGAATTATTTTAAGCAAAGGTAACTTTAAAAATATGATATCAATATCCACTATTCACGAAAGATAAAACACATGGGGGGTTTAACCACGAGGAAAACTTTACTTAGCTTAAGACAAAAAGATAATGAGGGGAATTAGCACAAAAACAAATAGCAATACACTTGACAAAGATTGTCAAAAAAGATTTTGAATTAATTGTGTTTATTCCAGACAACACAGAAATTACATTTGACACGGTTAGATATAAAATAAAAATACAATATTATTATGAAGACCGCAAGACTCCAACAACTATTTACACAATAAATAAATGAATATATTTACAAACATTCGGCGTGTCCGTATGGAGAGACGATTGGCTATATTAATAAGTATTTAGCCTCTTCCAGGCGTTCAGTTAAGGTGATCTTACACGAGCCGATTTTTAACGCCGGTTTTTAATCCATGTTACACGAGACAACTTTTGACGCAACTTTGTTGCAGCAACGGTCGGCAACGGTATGTTACACGCAATATGCACAATTCGGGCAACAATGTTGCAGTTTTTAAATTGCTTTCAAAAACCTGCAACATGTTAGCGCAACGAAATGTTACGTTACAAGTCGCCCTGTGCGCCGAGTTACACGACCCCGGCGTTAAAAATCGGAAAACGTGGCATATGTAACATCACCTAAAAAAATCAGTTGGGGAGAAGCGCGGCGCGGAAAGGCTCCTCGCACCAAGCCTCTCTCTCCTTTTTTCGCTCAGCTGTTTTTTCGCGCTGCGTTTCAACCAACTGAACGCCGACCTGGGAGAAGCTAATAAGTATTGACGATGTATCTGGGTAATACTATTCAACGTACCATGCTACATGAATGACCAGCATTCAATACAACAGGCTCCATATATTGTAATAATGAACAAGGATATTCAGGCTTTGATTGTAAAGACTTTCGTCTGCCGAGTCTGACGTTTTTCATTAAGAAATGAAGACTTCATTCAAAATAACAGATCAGTGTTTGAGATTGACTCGCTGTTCGATCCACATTCTTTATTTTGATGCAAAGGATGAACGTTCAGCACAGGAAAATCCTAACATTTAGCAAAGACATCCACAGAAATAAGATCACAAGGAGAACTCGGACTTCGACAGTACGACACAAACCTACGCAGCCACGCGCCCACGCAACCACGCGTCCACGCAACCACTCTGACCACACCACACGAACAGCATTCTATGATCTTCTCTCTCGTCCCCAGAATAGCAACATTATTAAGTGCAGATGAATCAAAATCATAAGTTCCACATACCTGCACTTCCCATATAATAACCTTCACAGTTTAGGCGGCGACGTTTGAATTAATTTCGAGAAGTGGACAACTTCCTTGATTTCCTCTTGAGTTAATATGCCCGCGTGCTCCAAGCCGATTAACAGCTGTTGTCTGGAGTTTCCAACAAAGTTGTTCCTCAAAAATGACGGAAAACCTCCTTGTTTGTCACGCATGATATAAAGTGGACAGCGAATGAGGCCAAGCACCTGAAAATCATGAAGTTAGTCAAGTTTTGATCAGCACTGAACAGGAATGAACGATATACGATTTTCAAAAAACATGCACGTATTTTATTCCACAACTAGTCAACGAATTTACATAAATTTAAGACAGGGACGGAAATGTAATATAATAATAATACCTTTATTCACTCCTGTACATTTTACAGGTTTATAATTATAATAGAAATAGAAATAGAAGAAAAGTTTAAGTCTGGAGGCTCAAATAACCCGAAAGTTCTCTTTTCAGTCTCCTATTGTAATGTCTCAATAGATATTCATCGAGTATTTACGAGAAGATGTGTGCATGATATAACAGAAAGGAGAAAATCAGCTTTCTGACTGGTCACCAAACATTCTTACAAAGACTCTAAGCCTGAAAGTAATGATAACAATTTCTTTTGACATATATTATTAAAAATAATGGTTTACTTAGAAAGAAAAACAAGAAACAGGTAGAGGTAATTGTAAACCAAAACTGAAGGAAACGTTAGGACGCCAGGTTATTGACTTGATAAAGATATAACGTATCATGTTGCCTTTGGTTTATTATTACGTGTAGTCTACTATTTCATGTCAGAAATTAAATTGCTGGTGGTTTATCTACAGTATAAATTTATCTTAATATTGGTAATCCCGAGAGTCGTTCCTGTTCAGTTTCTATCTATTTTATTATAACTCTCAGTTATTACGCACGCTGTGATTGGTCAATTTAGTGGGCCGTGTTTTACTGTACGGCCGCTAAAATTTAAAGCTGTTGTTGTTGCCAAAATGTTTCGTGATTATCGCCAAGTGTTCTTAACTTTTATAGCAAGTAAAAGTTTAAACTTTCTTTTACTTCTGAAATTGTATATTAAAACCTGTTCGCGACTTAAAAGTCACTTAACAACGATTTCAAATTGACTTGCTTTGCTTTCGAGGTGCATTAGAAATTTGAAGCCGTTCCGCGTGAATAGAAATCGTTCTCGAACCCGTCAGACACAGTAGAGATACAGTCGAACCTCTATTAAGCGACCACTCTCGGGAACGAGACGACTGGCCGCTTGATAGAGGTAGCCGATTAATAGAGGTTCACCCGAAAACAACGTTGGGCGTGGTCCAGTTTTCAGTTGATCGAATATAAGTACAAACAAATGCAAGTAGAGAAAAAGTAGTACAATGGCTATAAATCGATGGGGAAAAAACTCGGTCCGTAACTTACAGTATGGCACTCGAACTCGGTTAGTAAGATGTATGGCAACATGGCAATATGAACGCGGTCTGGTGTCATTCTTGTAGCTAACACCATATCCAGAAAGAAAGGATAGAAGTAACTGTGTACGTGGTCTCCTCCGTGGTCTGTCCTCATACGAGCTCTTGCTGCAACAAAAACATTTCCCTTGTGTACTCAGACCTATTTGTACTTAACTGCATTTAGTAAACAGTCAGTAATCACCTCATATCCAAGGTTTGGTGCATCTGGCCTTCTTGTCTCAAGTTCCAAGAACTGCTCTAAGGGAACCTTCTTGGTAAAGAAGTGCAAACAAAGTTTCTTTGTTATGTCTAGTTCTGGCATATGCTCCTCGTACAAATGAGAAATGACATAGTTTTCTTGAGCAATGTTCACAGGGTTTGTAGTTTTTCCTAGCTCTTCAACGACCTCTCTGTTTATGGCAGTCTCAAGGTCTTCAGAATCATCGACAAATCCTCCTGGGAAACCAATGCGACCATCAAAACGAAGCTGCATCTAAAAAATTGTGCAACAATAAAGCTCTGGTTTAGTCCTGACAACTGTACGCTGATGAAGTTAGGAAGTAGAATGGTTCAGTTCATTTTTTAAATGTAAGATCGAGTTATCTGAGGTTTTCCAGTCTTACTACTTATCCACTTCTTTGCAAACAGTTTTATATCCTGTTGAACTCTCTGACTTTTTAAATTCACATTATTGACAACTGCTTATCACAAATCACTTCATTTCTACATAACATTATTAAACATAATTAAACGAACTGTTTCACTGAAATGGAGTCTTTTTGAGTCTTATGTTCATTCTTTTGTTTGTTTTTTGTTATTATGTACATTCTTTTGTTTCCCTCCATCTCACTTTATTCTAAATATAATTTCACACTTTCCTTTCTTTATATAATGTTACTGAACTTACAATAATTTATATTTGATAATGGTGACATGTCATCGCTGAAGCATCATGTTTGAATATCACTACTTTTTATCCTGAAATGTTTTTCCAAATCTTTCGTCATCAGAATGACACAGTGTCAGTGTATTACTGAGTTTAGTCTTTTGTAAGAATAGTAAAGTCAAGAAGGAAAGAATTCAGCAATTTTTCAGGGTTTTTTTTTGGTTACAAAAAGAACCAAGTTAAATTCAGCGCACACAGTCAAAAAGTTGAATACATAAATGGCTTTCTCGGAAATCTGCCTATTTTTTGCAAAATACTGGTGAGAGTTAGACAAAATTTGGCAAGAAAATACTTCAGCAAGTGGATTACCAAAAAAAATCTGAAATCTAAATAATCCAACAAGAAACTCTAGCAAGCTTAAGACTGGGATATTAATATTATCAACCTTTTTGTTAAAACAAAAATTAAGTTAAACTGCTTTCTGAATCAAAAAAAGACTTCACCTTAAAAAAATAATAAATTATGCTGCATTCTCCACAAGCTATGTGCGTTACATTTTGAACCAAACACGGATTCCACATTAAAAAACATGGCATTCTCAACTCTATATCCCCTACACTTCTAACTCGATTTGTGTCAATTACCGGGTACTCAGGTTTCAAACGGTCTACTTCAAACATGCAAAATACATTCCTATTGTTCAGACAATCTGTTCCTTTAAACTCAGCGGAATAATCAAATACAAGTTTTCATTTTTCCATTTTTTCCGATGTATAACATTTATCTCTTTCATACTATCCAGATGTAAATTGTTTTGTGTTTTATACTGCAAAATGATGCATCTTTTGCTGGATCTTTTTTTCTCCAAGTGAACATCTGTTTACATCTGTTTGCAGTATCAAAATTCCCAGCCTGCCAAAATCTTACTACTCATGGTGAACTTGGTTTGCACAGAGAGGCCTCAGTCTACGCGCTTACAAAACAGAAAAATAACCACCAGTAGAACATGAATCAGGCTTGACCCTAGTCCGTCCCAGATGAATATCCTTCACAAAGGATAATTAAAACTCTCTCTATTAAACAAGTATTATATGAGTGTTAACATGGAAGCATTGTTCCAAGTTAGTTGCATGCAAATGATGAAGAAAATCTAACAAAGTTGTCTAGCTACCAGCAGCTGTTAGAGAAAGCCAATCTACCAACATTGTATAATAGGAGACTTCAGGACATATGTATTTTGATGTATAGGGTTAAACATAATTTGTGCCTGCAGACTATTTGTAACATGTTTTATACTAATAGCCACACTTCACACTTCATTTACCTAGATTTAACACTGTTAGGTATGGAAAACATTCAATTCAATATATAGGTCCAAGAACATGAAGCAAACTAACAAGCAAGCCCGAGACGTAGGCTCAGGTTTGCATAGCTTTCAAGAATTCTCCCAGCCCCCAAGTGTTTAGATGAGGCTATGTAAACATGGAAAGTACTCTATTGCTCTTATGAAATAATTCTCAAAAATACATGCGAATCTGAAACATCACAACCGTGTGTACATACTCTCATCTAAACACACCTATCAACCAATGAGAGGGTGTGCAGTAGCTCAGTTATTTTATAATTTTAGATAGTTCTAGTTAGGTGTCCCCTATTAGCAGTGGGGATTCCCCACTGCGAGATGTAATTGACATGATAATAAAGTCATTATTATTATTATTACTATTATTATTATTGTTGTTGTTGTTGTTGTTGTTGTTGTTGTTGTTGTTATTATTATTATTAAAACAAAAAACCTTGACTATATCCATTCAACGGTGTATCCATCAGCTAACGTGCACCTCGCCATTTTTGGGAACCAAAGGATTATGTTTAATGGAGAAATGGTGAATGAGACACCGGTATCATTGTATCAAGAATTGTCTTCGGTCACCTTAAATAAAGAACTTTCCATATACAACTACTTTGTTTTCTTTAGAAAATAGGAATACAAGAACTAGGTTTAACAATATTCGATGACAAACACGCATATTGTACCAGCTTTGATATCATGTCTTCGACTGCCGGCAAATCTCCTGACTGTAACAACTTACTGCCGGCATTTGCATAGACTACGTGAGTGTTGCTTACCAAAACAGCGTGTTTCACTGGATAAAACCCAAACAGCTTTTCTTCCACTGGCGAATGTAACATGACGTGACAGCAATGTCTATAACCTTGAAGAGCTAATGAATTAGCTCGTGGAATCACACTCATTGTAAATGTTCCCATCAGTCGGCCATTGGTCATTAGCTGAAATTAAGTGAACTCTCGATCAGCGGTGCACAGCACTACCAGAGTAGCACTTTATGTATGACGTGTATTATATTTGCAAGATTTTCCACATTTTGAAAATGCGACGCGTAGCGTTCTAGCGGAATATTTTTCAGAAATTCTAGGTGTTTGGGAAGGTGGTCAAACACTGTCTTGAGTGTTTCATACATCTTCTCAGCGGAACCTCAAATCTAGGAGAAAACGGAGAAATGAAATCGTAAAAATGTCTGTTAATTACGATCAGGGGCCCGTTACTCGAAAGTCCCGGAAACCTTTCGGGCCCGCAAAGCAAATTGTATCTAAAAACAGAGGTGTATACGCCTGAAACTTTTTGTATGAAGAGAACCTCTCTTCATACATATGTGAATAAAACAGCTCTGTAATCATCAGGTTTGGGATTTTGCTATGGCTTTCCGGGTTCGAAAACGTTTCGGGACCTTCGAGAAACGGGCCACAGATAATCGAAACACCGTCACGGTCATGGTTTGTTTTGTTTAAACTTGATGAATTATTAAAGAGTTTGAGAAAGAGGGTTCAAAGTAATAGAGTATAGCACTCTGTCCGAGACTTGTTGTCAAGCATTCAAGTTCGCCCAGTCAGAGTCCCATGGTAGTTATTAACAACCAAACCACACACATGATCTCAACTTTATATACTTCCATGCTACTGCATCATTTACAGTGTCGTTAAATATTTAAAATATACAATTTTTATAAGTTAAGAGATACTTTCAACCTCGTGAAATTTCATTTTAAAGCCTCATCTGCAAAATTTTTACACAAATATGACATTTCATTAAAATAAAGGGGTTTATCTACTCGTAAGTCCCCTTGTATCTATCTTACTTGCGTTTACTATAACGACAGAAAGAAATTTGTATCTCGGAAAGTCACTGACTTTCACACGCATTGCGCGCCTAAATTGAGCAGTGGGCTTTTATTTACTTACATTTCTTTAGACTAGTTTCAGTAACTGGTCAATGCACAGCATTCACTTGAAAAGGCTGTGCTTCAAAGTCACATGGACACTATAAAATAACATGCGCTGATATTAAAATCTAGAAAAATCCGTCCCAAAACAAAGGCACGAAATGACCCACATCTGAACATCGAATACAAAATATCAATACACTTGAAAACAACACGCCAAAAAGAACCTACATCATCACAACACATCGACGACACTTTCGTCTGTTGCTAGGTCAAATGAACATGTTTAAAGGCCATTTCTTTAAATTTTCTGCTTTGCACATTGTTCAAATTTTCTCGATTGTAGCGTCTCCTTCGCAAAGGCTGCCAGCGCGCACTAAATAAGACAATTCTAATTCACGTCAACACTGTAGTCTTAACAGGGAAGACATCACCAAATAATGACTTGAAATTGTAGAAAAACGAAGACCTGAGGGAACAAAAAAAGTCAACACTAGACAAAACTGAGGTTGAATACTATCTGCTCAACCGATGACGCGTTTAGCTCGGTTTGTATCAAACCGTGGTCTGTAAAGCTCAACAGCCATAAACGATTTAGTTTTCTTCCTGACTTTCAAGTTGGGTTGCCTTTTGCTAAATAACATGAACTCAGATGCGCGAGCTAGCCCCGATAGCAATCAAACATTAACAAGCTTATGACTTATTCACGTATACAAATTTGTCACTTTGTTTTCTCTTTTTTTATACAAAATGAGGCAAATGCTTCGCGCCCTGGAGAAAAGGGCTGGAGCAAGCAAATATATTTATTATTTTACATCGTACTCCATTTCAGTTTATTTCAATTTTCTTTTTTTACGTTTTCCATTTGGCGTTGATTATTGAAGATGTCGCCATAATGCCCAGCACCAAAAAACACATCATCACAGTAAAAAAGGGTGAAACTTTGGGCGTTTTCAATTACGTACGTTTTTACGTTACTCAGTGTTTCAGCACGTATGGCAATAACGAAAATCTTTTGACACGCTCTAAAATAAATTAAATCTTTTGCGTGCATTTTACTGCGCTTGAGATTGTCCTCTCGTAGCCTTTTGTTGGGGTAGAACTCCACTCGTATCTGCCATTGTCCATTGCGACAGATTTGCTATGCGCGTCACATAACAGGATGCAGTTTTTTTTTTCTCCGTAAGTTTGTTTTGAAAGCAACACGATGCTATTTAAATCTGTTCTTTTCCACCTTTGAGAAAAAGTCCTCTCGAAAGGTCCTCCATTTCGCGTAATCTTGTTCTCGAGTTGAGAAGTTAAAGATCTTTCCAACTTTTCACTTTTGTCGACATTTTAATTTACCCAACATCCTTCACGCTGTGGTGTATGAACATCACTGAGGTGTGTCACGCGTAGTCTTGCGTGACAGATCCATCCTCTCGGGCGCTTCCAACCGCAGATGTCCCGGAACTGAGACTTGATGCAAACTGGCAATTTTGTCATTTAATATCCAGACACTGCAGTGAAAAACGGTTGATAAACACCAAAAGGACTGATCGGAGTCTCGGGTGGAGCACCAAAAAATCCCACTTCCGACATCTTCCCCGCACGATTTAACGAACAGGGTTCGGATGCACTTCGGTGAATCTTCGGCATTGACCGAATGAGAGACTCCAAGGTTCCAAGAACCTGCAAAATAAAATAAATGGTTTCAAATTGACAACAACCAGGTAAAATGCCGCATTACCTTGCATCATGCAGGTCGGTATGCATTTCTGTCAAATCCACTGGCTACATGAAAACGTTGCGGCTCCAACAAAGCTGTACTGTTGATACTGTGAGAGGAGAAATGACTTACAGTGGAACAAGCGAGTCTCTAAAAACACTGCCGCGTGAATTGATCTTAAATTTGCACCTAAATGACCGGAAGAACTTCTAATCCCAACCAACATACGATAAAACTACAAGATCATTTGTGAGCCGAAAACCAACAATCAACCCAGAGGCGGTATGGCGGATAATGAAGGTTGTCATCTGGGAAAAGAGGTTAACAAGGGTTTGTATCTCTCTCTAAACAATACTAAGCTTCAGAACAACTGACGGCATTCTGCCCAGGCCACGACTCTTGAAGACCTCAAAGCGGAATTCCAACAACAGAATCCCCATGGTTAAAGGTGACTATAATCTAAAAAATATCTCCAAAAAATGTCTACAACGTTAGTCATTATTTTAGTCCCGGAGAACTTTCCTAAAAAAATTGTTTCTAAGACGGTACCACGACATAATTGTTCGTTTCTTTGAAACTGTAATGCGGTGTCGGCACACAAGTGTAATACTGAGCTCTTTATGAACTTCAGGTCGATAAAGGTGACTTTCTGAGCTTGTAATAGCCCTTTGTAACATGAAAATCAATGGCGCCCGTTTTGAGTATTTATTCTATGATCATTATCAAATAAAACTCACAACAGACCTGAGGGAAGAGTGGTCGTTCATCTCTGCTGAACTTGATACAATCTATTAAGAGTTTCTTGAAACTCTTGGGTATGTCGGACCGGACCTTGCTCAAGTCGGGCTTCAGATAGCCTCGACCAACCATGTAAAGAATCTGAGGAGGAAACACAAAACAAGATAAAGAAAAACAATTGAAACTGAAGCACTGATGTTGTATTTTATATGAAGTATTTCGAGCTACCAAAGAAATATGACGTCAGTCGCGGGCTTTACGTCACTTGCCAAACAAACCGTGCGCCATGCTTGTCAATTCAATGAATGCGCGCGCTCTGCCACTTTCATGTGTCTTGTCTAAGAAAGCACACTCTCTGCCTCAATACTATAGAATAGTACCTGGTCTTTGTTCCCCACATGGGCATAAGGCAACGTACTCGTGAGCAGCTCGTAAAGCACAATTCCGTAAGCGTATATGTCGGAGTGGAATGAGTAAGGATTGGGGTCCTTCATTCGGACAACCTCAGGCGCCTGCGCAACATAAACAACAACAAAAACATGTTACATACTAGTTATGCAACACCTTTGAGGAGTCACTTGTATTTTCACGGTATCCACAAACCTCAAAAGCCTAGCCGTTTGCAACTGGCCAGCACGTATCTGGTCACAAATCCAGAAGGACTGCAAGCACGTTACTCACAACCAAAGATCTACCTGCAAGAACTACTAGTAAGATTAAGCTGAAAACCTACCATCCACAATATCGAGCCCGATGGTTGTTCAAAATTCTGATTTCCACTCCATCTTGACTTGATGGTCGCCAAACCGAAATCACCCACTTTCACTGTCAAGTCCTCCTGAAGAAAAATGTCTGATACAAAGTTAAGGATGGCAAACAAAACGACCTCTACACATTCCAGTTCAAAGACAGCGGTTCATTGATGGGAACGTCGACTCTCCTTACTGATTGCCTTTTCGTGTCGCTGAGGTCTACGAGAGTTTTGCCATATCAAGTGTTTCGTTGAGGTTGATGTTCGCTCTTTCATAAACTGAATATCATTTTTGATGGCGTGAAAAGTCGTGAAAGAGATAAGTGTATAAGTCTTGTACCCATTCACGGTCACCACTAAGTAAGCTCACGTTAGAAATTTGAAATTTAAAGAAACAGGAACCTCATTTGAAACGTTTTTCTGCAATCTTCGCTGTTGTTCAGCGGGTGGATTAAAAGCTATCTGAAGGCAGAGATGTATTAACACAAAAGGATACTGTTTGACTTCAGATCTCTGTGGATTATGGACTTCGCGTGAAGATAACTGTGAACGTCAACAAAAAAAAATCAATTTCGAAAATACTTTAAATTATACAAATACAATCACGACAAGACATACATGTATATTTGCAACATTTCGTGGTGGGTCCTCATCACAAATGAACTCGTGTTAGAGAAGACGGGAGTGCACAGCATTCCAAGTTCTTCTGAGAAAATTGCCAATGACGACAAACACAAGCAAACAACACGGAAGAGCGGTTTTCAATTGAGTGTCGTAAAGCCAAAGCCAAATTAATCACTCTAGCCAATCACAAAGGACGCAGACAATACAGTGAACCAATCAAAACTAGAAGTAAAAACATGTAGCTGACGCAAAGCGCGGGAAAACGTATGCGAGGTGAAACTGAATCACAATTGGTTTTGGTTTAACTCTGATTGGATGAAAAAATGGCGCGAGTTCTTAAACCAATCGGGTAGCGTAGAAAGAGCAAAACCAATTACTTTTCCACATTCAAATTAAAACTGCTCCAAATAAATAAGTAGCATTAATTCTTACTCCATTCCTTGTGCTGTCTGTCTAGCGATATCTAGCAGTTGTAGAACCTCGAATCTGCTTTCCGTGACATGAAGATGACGATATAAACTGGAGCCTTCACACCACTGGGTCACTATGGCTAGTTCTGGTTTGGCCATACAGCCCATGAATAACAGGATGTTTACATGACGTGTTTTCCTAACAGGAAACGCAGAACATGTGATGAGTACCATACTGAATAACAAACAATCCAACAAACAATGAAAGCACTTTGACAATAGCCTTACAAAACACTTTACATGTACATCAATTCTTCTTTTTGTAAGGCCACATACCGTTGCATTGTGAGTGCCAGGCACAAATAAACGTTTTATCAGTTCATGGCTATCCACTGACCTTAATACAGCTACTTCATTCTTAAATCCTTGTAACTGTTGAGGACTTGGTTCTGAAACATTTAATGTTTTAATAGCCACAGCGCCTGTAGAACCAAGCATAACAATGTGGTCAATTATTGTGCTCCATATAGATTTTTCTTTCCCACGGTAACAATCCACGAGTAGAACATCAACATGCAGTGGAATGATAACATGTAATCAGCATACATTAAGTCACTAATAGACAGATTCGGCTAACATGTTCACATCCTTGTTGCCAGGAAATTCAGATCATGTGATGATTTACTTGGGAGGTTACAATTGTTCTGTTTGTACATACTCCCATGCAATCAGTTGAGTGTGACTAATTGCACGCTTGTAACCTCCCAAATGTATCGTCACGTGGTCTGAATTGGGTGGTAACTAGGACTTTAACACATTAGCCGAATCCGTCCCCACCAACAGGGATTACCAGTAACAAAACTTGTCCTCTTTGTCAATAAATGCTATGAAAATCAGAACAAGCTCTGACCAATAGTGGAGCCATTTAAGCTTGAGTCCTTTTCAGTGAGTCACTACTCGTTAATTTGCGTTCTTACAGCTTTATTAAAATAAACAACGATAGTTAAGTCACAAGCTATCCACTATGGAGTCCATACCATGCCATGTCCCTCTATACACTGTTCCATAAGACCCTGATCCTATCCTTGGCCCACGATGCACTTCACCTTCTGGTATCTCCCAGTCATCTGTAGAGTTAGTTCTCATGCGCTGCATCTAAAACACATTTATAGTTAACGAAACATAACTAGCGAGGTCCCAAATCATTACCATGAAAGAAACTAAATATTTTTTGGTATTTGCACTTTCACAATGTGATTATGCTAACAATAGCTCTTTAACTTGAGCCATTTTCCCGGACTTCTTTTTCAATCAGAGCATGACAAGAGGCAACTATTTGTCATGGTAATCAATAACAATCTGCTTACAAAATTGGTGTACAAAAGCTGAAAAAACATACGCTGTGAAAATTCAAAATCCAGGTGAAAGAGGTGTTCATAGAGAAGAGGGTCCAACATAGGTTGTTTTAATCCCACATCCCACCACTGTTTTGCCTCAATCCTGCCATCCTGCCCCAGTCTGAATATTTATCTTGATCTCGCCTGGTTAGAGATGCAGTTCTCCGTGTAACATCTGCAACACGTAATTTTCTGTCTTTTATTCTGCATCCTACCGCCAATTTTATCTCGCATCCCTTCTGTCAAAGTGAGCAAATCCTGTTACCGCCGAAATATTTTTATCCTGCCATTAAAAGTTCTGTCATCCCGTATCCTGCCTTCAGTTTTACTCTCATCCCGCATCCCACCAAACCTATGTTGGGCCCTCAGAGAAGGTGACAGAAAAGAAAACCTCTGGCTGTTCAAAATGTTAGAAATCACAAACTTACCGTTCTCTTGGGTTTCTGTGGGCTGGAGGGTGCATCACATATTACAGTGCCATTAGGTACAGATATTGCATGAGGGTGCTCTATTTTGTTGGGGTGAACATTATTTGGCATAAGTGTGTTCTTGTCAAATAATCTTGGATTGACAGCACCAACACTTGACGTCCGACTGTGTCTTCTCCGGGCCAACTTACTTGATTCTACATCTAAAAAAATATACACCAATACTGTTATCAGAGTATCAAAATACCACTCAAATATACAGTTATTACATTTATTAGCATTTAAATGTTGTTCAAAGTAACATACACAAAAAAAAGACAAATGCACCTAGACTAAAAACTCTATCATTTTGCACAAAAGCTACAGCAAAAAAATAATTACTGGGTACACTACAAGGCTTGAGGCTTAGTTTCTATTTCAAAATAAAAGAAAGGTACTAGATAACATGTTCACCCATCTGACACAGATAAACTAGACCATTTAACACCAATCACGGTGCAAAGAAAATTCAGTTTTCCAGCTTGCCCGATGTAACTAGAATGTACTAGCTCAGCAGTCATTTTCACTAACCCAAAAGAATGTCTCACTAACGCAACTGTAAAAGTTTAAAACGATAATTTGATCTCTTAAGTTCTTCACGAAGTTGAATTTGAACAAAACTACTGGGCAAGTGAAGGACAGAATGCACCAGCCCAACTGAAAAATCCACTAGCCCTGGGTTATCAAACATGAATTTCTTAACATGCTGCAATGATAACAACACATCTCTACAGTTTGCCTAGAATAATGTTTGCATGTGTGGTTATCCACAGAGTGGTAGATATCTGGCTATTAGCAGAGCATGGCTAGCAGTAAGTACATGTTGAAATTATGATGACAACTATTGTCGAAAATTGCACAAATATAAGGGCCAAAGTTTTTGTTAGTCTTCATGCGAATTGCTGTACTAAACGTTATTATAATTTTAACTAGTGAAGTATTTTTGAGAAAGTGACATCATTTCCTCAAATTCTCATCCAAGCTTTGAAACAAGGAAAATTAATGGACATAAAGGTCCAAAAAACATGAGTTCTCATGGGCATAATAGTTGAAATTTGCCAAGATATCTAGGAAAGACCTATTGAGTAAGAAAATGTACAAAATGGATACCAAGAATTTGATCATAGTGGCACTTTAAACCCACGAGACATTTAGGAGCTGCACAGCTGCGGCAAAGTGTAAGAACATTTTAATCAAAACAAACCACAATAAATTATGTTTACTATGAGGCTAGAACTTAAAACAATGCTCAGGTTCCCCTCTGAAGTAAAATCGATCTCCAAAACACTTTTTCAGAGTAAAAAAAATATTTTTTGTCAGACCAGAAGAATTCCTCCTACAACACCCCAAGGCATCAAAAAGATTCTTTGGAAACTCCCAAAAATGATAATATATGTGTTGCCTGCCAAACTCAAGAGCTTCCTATAAATTCCCCACAGCATTCTCACCTGATACTGTAGGGGAATTCTCCTTTCCAAATGTGGAAACAAAGGGCTCACAGCGATCCTATGTGCCAAATAAAATACATTGTTTCCTGTCAGTGGCATTAAAACATCAAAAGCAACAAAATTTCAGCTGAGAAAAAACTAAAAACTGCTCAATTTTTTTCCTACAAGGAAATTGAAACATTTTACACAAAGCCTGGCTACAAACACTCGCCCCAACACAGCAAATATACTATTATTTTGTAACACATTGGAGCACTGGTCAAAGCGTAAGTTTTAACATTACGTTTTATACACTCAAAACAACAAAACTTTTTTCATTTTCATACTTTGAGAAACATATTTAACGCCAAGCACAGTATGCAAAAGATAAAGGCATTTGCTAAGCAGAGACTTACCAAAGGGACATTTCGACTACTGATTCTGCTTCTAAAAACATTTGGTTCAGACACTGAGCGTTCCCTTGTACTTGAGAATGATTCGTCGCCAGAATTGTTCAAGCTTGGATCTTCTGCATTAAAAAAATCAAGCAGTGGCTCTGAGAGTAACCTACAACAGGAAACAAAACTAGGAATTATCCAATGATTGTACAGAGAAGCTCATAATTTTACAATTTTACCTTCCCTTCTTTGTTCAAGAATTTGACATCTCAATTTATTAAGTTTGAAAAGAAGTTGATTTGAGTGGTGTAAAATCTTCTTTAATCAATGTGCAAATAGTTAGCATCGTGTAGTCCAGTGAATGTAACTAACAGATGATAAGTTACATGTATATTATGTGAATTAGGATTTGGTTAAGGTTCAGTTCCATATGATTGTGACAGCAGCAATAATAGCCATGTTCTAAACAAGCAAAGGACTGGGTATGGATTTTAAAATAAATTAAAGTGGGAAACGAGATTGTCGGAGTCGGAAGCAGAAGCGGAAGAATAAACCAATAACAATGCTCGAATTCGGACCTTGTGATTGGTTGGTTCTTCCGCTTCTGCTTCCAAATCCAACAACCTAGTTTTCACTGGATCATAAGCGATGGAGTCGTAAACAGAATTGGAAGAAATGGAAATGTTCTAACATTTCCCACTCCGATTCCATCGAGCTTATAACTCTGCTTATGACTCTGACTTCAATTTTCACTGGGTCTTAAGTACTCTTATGACTCCGACTCAATTCCAGCAGAGACACAAGACAGTCACAAGTTCATGCAGGGCAAGAACAGTCAAGTCAAGTCACCTTAAGTTACTGCAATTGTGCATAAGTCCTGACCAAAGGACATCACCAGCTACAAGTTTACAACTACTTGGTACTACTACATTGCCACTTGCATTACATCTGTTAGTCTCAATATGAATGATCTGTTTCTACAAATTAATATTTACAGTGAAAAGCTGACAGGATGATCAAACTAACAATTTTAACTTATTCCATTTTTCCAGAAGCCTATCCCAACAAATAAAAATATCTTCATCCCTAAACAAGAATAATCCACAATTATTTATTGCAAATCAACTTGAGTATTTAAACATAATTTGCCACACATTTTGGGCTCTTTCTTCATTTCATCTGCATACAAGGGGCTATATATTTTCTAATAACACTGGCCTGACATTTTTTCCGGATTCACTCCCCTTGTACATGTCACCTTGTGTAGGTGAACCTTGCATGTGTTACTGCTATGCTACATGGGACCTTGGCCCCTGGTGAGGACTGCCCTAGGCCTGGATGGGAATTGGACACAGGCCAACCAGTTCACTGACCCATAAAAACCAATTGCAGAAAGGGGAATAATTCCCATAATTTTATGTACCATGTGCCATAAAAAATAAATTACAATATTTACAGAGAAAGCCAGATTGGCCATATCTGGTTTTCATACAAAAGGAGAGAATAAAAGAGTTATTGAATCTTCTAAACTACGACAATATTATACTAAGATGCTCAAAAGGTTGATGAAATTCAAAAACAATTCTCTTTTCTCTAAGTCTGGCAAAGGAGAGGGTGGAACATTGTGTATTGCATACAGAGCACCCGTGAACCAACAAATTACTGTAAGTCAGTTCCAAATTAAAGAAACAATAACAAATAAGACTTACCCAAGAGCAGCCTGCTCACAGACAGGTGGAACCATTGCGGCACAACGTTGGTGAAATTTGTAACCACAAATCTGACACCTACGACAGAAGAATTATTTGAATTACAAAGTAACCTCTTTGTAAATAAATTGCAACAAATAGACACCAAAAATAGCAAACCTAAGTCATGGAAAAGTCTAACATTTATTCCTTAGTTAGTTGACATGTTGTGCTATAACATTTTAAGCTGATGTTGCACAAATTGTGAAAGTCATGCTGATATGATGTAACCATGCACTTAGACACATATAAGAATTACCAATAACTCCTGTATTCATACCTGAATCCTAGTATCAGACGTTGTTTACAGCTGTCACATAATGGAAATGTCAAAAATGTTTTTCTTGCCTGAAGAAGAAGTACCAGTATTTAGTGTATACTACAAGTGTAATTGCATTCAGGCTACTTTATTGTACGTTTCATGCAATAACACACATTATCTTTCCAAGGGAAAACACAAATAAATAAATAAATAAATAAATAAATAAATAAATAAATAAAACGACTAAACATCTTTGAATGGTTTCCACAAATGACTCAAGCTGAAGAGTTTGAACAAAGCACTGAGGAAGAAAGAAATTCTTTAAAAGCTTGGCCAACTTTCCACTAATTGATTCTGACTTTTTGAAAAATTTATGCACAATGTTAAATGTGATTTTTATGGGTCAAGTTTAAATCTTTCACCCATGAATATCATTGCTACATTTAAAACAGAATAACTTCAGAACATTAAAAATACAAAACTCAGCAAACATTAATTTTATGTGAACTAAAAGCACAACTTACAAAACTGTGGGAATATTGGCCAGTAGGTGGAAGATCATCAATTCTCTCAACTGACAGCTATTGACAAAAGAGATAATAAAGCCTGTTATCAGACATGCATTGTATGATTACAGATATCATAACAGAACAATGGCAATATCTTGCAGGGCTCGAAATTAACTTTTTCGTTCGGGAGCCAGCTGGCGACTAACGGAAAAATTTTGGTCGCCAGATCGTAAATTTTGGTCGCCAACTTATTTTATATATAACTTACACAAGAACTCGATTTTATACGTTACTTTGCATGCAAGAAAAGTCATAATTGAAGAGCGAAAACAATTAGAAACAACACAAGTAACACTTAGTTATAAAGCTACCGTTGTTCTCAGGTGATATGTCTCTGCTCCGAAGGTGATGGT